GGGGGGGGGGGGGGTCGTTTCCACCTGCTGCTCTTTACACGACCCAAAAAACCCCGAAAAGGGTTAAAAAACCTGCATTGACAGCTCCAGATGGTCAGAATACTGTCTAAAAAATCAGAAAACTATAGCAGAAAATGACCCAAAACCTTTAGAGATCCAAAAGACTATAAACAAAGCAGCAGTTCCGCTTCCAAAACACTATAATATGCACCAATAAATATAAACTTTAACTCTCCTTTTGTCAAAAACTCCATTTTTATCTCAGTTTAAAAGCTAAAACTGGCCTTTGGGTTCCTAAAACTACCAACTGGAGAAAAACGATCAATTGTTGAAAACCTCAGAGATCCAAAAGACTACAAATATTTGAGACCAGACCAACAGTTCTGCTTCCAAATAACTATAATCTGCACCAATAAATATAAACTTTAACTCTCATTTTGTAAAAATTTGCCATTGTAATGTCATTTTAAAAGTTAAAACTGGCCTTTGGGTTCCTAAAACAACAAACTGGAGGCTAAACCAGGCTGCCTTTTCTGTCTTTAGACCTAAAAAAAACCAACCCCTCTGGAAATGAAGCCTCTTAAAACCCAAACCTCCTAAATTAGCATCTAATCTGGAGGAAAAAGTAAAGGACCGTGATCATTTGGGGGTTTTCTTTAACACAGGGACTCAATTTTGGAAACTATCGGGTTTGAACACAGACTGTGATCTAATACAGATCCTCTGTTGAACTTTGACCCCGCCAGTTGAGGTTTAAAAAAAGACTAAAAGACCCCTTAGAATACAGAAAAGACTCAGTCAGGACCCAGAAAAGGAGCCAGAGAACCAGAACCAAGCCAAAACAAACCAAGCCAAAACAAATCAAGCCAAACCAAGCCAAACCAAACCAAACCAAACCAAGCCAAAACAAAACAAACCAAGCCAAGCCAAACCAAACCAAGCCAAGCCAAGCCAAACCAAACCAAACCAAACCAAGCCAAGCCAAACCAAACCAAACCAAGCCAAAACAAACCAAGCCAAACCAAGCCAAGCCAAACCAAAACAAACCAAACCAAACCAAACCAAACCAAACCAAGCCAAACCAAAACAAATCAAACCAAACCAAACCAAACCAAACCAAACCAAGCCAAACCAAACCAAACCAAACCAAGCCAAACCAAGCCAAACCAAACCAAACCAAGCCAAACCAAACCAAACCAAACCAAGCCAAACCAAACCAAACCAAACCAAGCCAAACCAAGCCAAACCAAGCCAAACCAAACCAAACCAAGCCAAACCAAGCCAAACCAAGCCAAAACAAACCAAACCAAACCCAACTTAGGCTAAAACTCCAGGTTAGTTTGAACATCTGGAAGCTTCTCACTTCCCTCTAGACTAATTTCTACATCCAAAGGATTTAGGATGAGGAGTTAGCTAAACCTACTTTAACCAAAAAGTTACATTCACTTTTATTTAGATAGCACCACATCACAACAACAGTTATCTCACAGCACTTTCCAACCACAAATACTCTGAAGTTAATTACAGAAACCCAACAATTCCCAGCATGAGCAAGCACTAGGCGACACAGGCAAGGAAAAACTTCGAGAGAGAGAAGGAATGAAAGAAAGACAGAGAGAAGGAATGAGAGAAAGAGAAAGAATGAAGGAATGAAAGAAAGGGAGAGAAAGAATGAAGGAAAGAAAAAAAAGAGAGAGAAAGAATGAAGGGATGAATTAAGGGAAGAAAGAGAGAGAATGAAGGAAAAAAAGAGAGAGAGAGAAGGAATGAAGGAAAGAGACTGAAGGAATGAGAGAGAGAAAGAAAGAATGAATGAAGAAAAGAAAGACAGACAGAAAAAGACAGAAAAAGAGAGAGAAAGACAGAAAGAAAGAAATAAAGACAGAATGAAAGAAAGACAGACAGACAGACAGACAGACAGACAGACAGAATGAAAGAAAGACAGAAAGAATGAAAGAAAGACAGAATGAAAGAAAGAAAGAAAGACAGAAAGACAGAAAGACAGAAAGAAAGAAAGACAGACAGAATGAATGAAAGACAGACAGAAAGACAGAAAGAAAGAAAGACAGACAGAATGAAAGAAAGAAAGACAGACAGAAAAGGAGAGAGAAAGACAGACAGAATGAAAGAGAAAAAGAATGAAAGAAAGACAGAATGAAAGAAAGACATAAAAAGAGAAACAAAGACAAAGAAAGAAAGACAGAAAAAGAGAAAGAAAGAAAGAATGAAAGAAAGACAGACAGAAAGAAAGAATGAAGGAATGAAAGACAGACA